TGTTGTTTCTTGGAATTGGGTCACACTTTGTTGCATCGTGGCCATGTTCATGGCCAATGACCGAATCATGTCTTCAGTGGACATGCTCGAGTTTGATGTTTGCCCTTGTTGTTTGTATTGTTGAGGGGGAGGGTTTGATTGTTGAGGAGGTTGAGAGTTTCCGTACCTTAAGTTGGGATGATCCCTCCACCCCGGATTGTACGTGTTGCCATGAGGGTCATATCTTCTTTGACCTTGGAAACCCAAAGCATTGACTTGCTCGGGGTTCTCCTCTTGAAGTGTTGGGCAAGAATCGGTGGGATGCCCTTGTGTTGAGCATATGCCGCAGACCTTGACTTCTTGGGTTTTTGGATTCAAAAGAAAATCTTTAACCAAAGAAGTCAAGCCGGCCACTTGACTTTCCAACGAGTTGTTGGATTCCGCTGCCATCACTCTTTTCGATGATGACCTCCCATTGTAATGTCTCGAGTTTTCGGCCAACTCGGAGATGAGGTCCCTTGCTTGGGAAGGGGTCTTGTTAACAATGCCCCCTCCGCATGCCGCATTCACCATGCGTCTATCTTGATCAACAAGCCCATCATAGAAGTAGAGGATGAGATCTTGTTCCGAATACCCATGATATGGGCAACTAGCGCATAATTTCTTAAAACGCTCCCAATATTCGTACAAGGTCTCATCATCTGCTTGCTCAATGTTGCTGATTTGCTTTTTGAGACTTGAAGAGATAGATGCGGGATAGTACCTGTCGAGGAAGCTCTTTTTCATTTGAGCCCATGTGTTGATGCTACCCGAAGGAAGATAGAAAAGCCAATCCTTCGTGGTGTCTTTTAAGGAGAATGGAAAAGCCCTTAACTTGATTTGTTCCTCGGATACGCCATTGGGGCACATGCTTGTGCACACAATATGGAATTCCGATAGATGTTTGTTCGGGTCTTCCCCCCGTAGGCCATGGAAAGAGGGGAGTAGATGAATGAGCCCAGATTTTAGCTCAAATGTGACCCCCGTATCAAGAGTTGGAAAAGTGATACATAGGGGTTGTTGATTTAGATTTGGAGCTGTGAGCTCCCTCAACGTTCTTGTTTCATTAGCCATAATGATTGGCTCTTCGGTCTCGCTAGAATGAGAACTAGCACTTGATGATTCTCGCGAGTCGGAGTTTGAAAATTTGTTTTTCAACCGCTCGAGAGTTCGTTCTATTTCGGGGTTTGAGTGGTATGTGATTTCGTTCAGTGAACGATATTTTACCATGTACTACAAAGCTCAGCAGAAATAGAAATCCATATATACTTATGTTTTTTTTTTAAATAAAAAGAATAATTAATTGCCTTTCCCCGGCAACGGCGCCAAATTTGACGTGCACTTGTCGTGAGGTGCACTCAAAATAATATTCAATACAACACTTATACGTAGTATAGCGTAGTAAAGTTCGTATCCACAGGGAAAGGATTAACTTTCTTTTTATATAAATAGTAAATGAAGGGGGGTTTTGATTGTTGAGTGATTTAATTAAATAAAACACGAAGATGAACGAGTTATATGGGATTAAATTCAAGAATAAAAGGGACTTGGTCTTGCTACTTTCCACTTGTTGATATATTTTAGTCGATCATTGTTATATCTATAACTTATCCCCTCTCGAATACTCAATCGAGGAGTATATCCAATTCATCGAGGGTAGTTATTAACAACGACCGTTCATTAATAACCCTTACTATTAACCAAATATAGAACAACGCCGTATACCGATTTAATAGTAGCATTTAACCTCTTTAACTCCTTGATGAAATCAATTGAGATTGATAACCTCAACACAACGGTTTCGGTTTAACCAACAAAATTAATCCCTCTTAAGTTTATTAACCACGACCGTGCATTAATAAACCGAAGTTACTTACTTATGAAACCTTCAACGTTTAACCATCGGTTCGTTGAACGTTTCTAGTAATAATCAATGTCGGAACGTTAACTAATCGTCACTTAGCCACCCTCCAACAATGATATAGAATGAGGTTAAGGCAAGAATTAATAATCAAGAGGAGAAAGTAAGAAAATAACTCACAACTTTAATAATCAATCAAGCTTCAAGAGCAAAACCAAGAAATGGAAGTTTAGCTCCTCATTTGGAGACTAAACATACTAAAAGAAATATAGGGAAATGCTATTCTAAACTGAGCTTAAGAGTATAAAGGAATTGGTGTTTTATTGTGGAGGAAATGGGGTGTATTTATAGGCTTTTTGGGCTTGCAGGGTCATGTACTCGATCGGGTATATTGGGTACTTGATCGGGCCTTCAGTTGTTTCGCAGAAGCTGGAAAAACATGGGCATACCCGATCGGGTATGTCGGCTACCCGATCGGGTATAGACACTCGATCGTGGTTAAAATCTTCCCTGCATGTTGCCTTGTTCGCGGATTTATCCGATTTGATTTTTCAGCAACTTACCCGATCGAGTATAGGATATACTCGACCGGGTACAACACCAAAAATCAGGATCTTCATTTTGTTTTGGAATTTTTGCACCTTCCTTCCACTTGTGATGTTCACCAATGGTCCCTAGAGTGGTCTTGGACCTGTTTGAGCTCAGAACAAACCTAATCTAAACAATTTACAAACATTTTACAAACTAAACTATTACACCAAAAGTGTGTAATTTCTAGAGTAACAATTACTCAAAACTAATCAAAAACACAAATATAAACATGGAAATAACATGAATGTCAGTTATCAAAACTCAAAATGGAAAATTAAAGTGAGTAAAGTACCCATAACCCATCTATAAATTATAATGCCCTTCTGTTCCGTAGCTGTTTTCCCTCAAGATATCAAATAAATACCTCAAACATCCAACTATCACTATCAAAATTATGGTAGTAATTACCATGTGGGACAAACAATTAAAGGCATTAACTCACTCAAACTATATAGAAACAATTAAGGTTTCTAATGTTAATAGTTGTATGCATAGCTTGAGAGTTCAAAACTAGAAAGCATTAAACTGAAGAAGCAATATAAAAATAAAATTAAGTATATGTATGTGTATGTTTCTGACTGTAGCTTTTATTTCTTTGTCCAGGCCCCCACTTCAGTTCTCAGGTTATTCTATAATAACCACTAACAGAATAGCTCTAGAAGATTGAATTTATATGGAATACTATTTCATTACAAGAGATCTCAATCAATCAGCTATATTTAATTAAATGTTATATACTGATACCTTATGTGCTTATTTCTTACACACTCCCCTTTTCAACAGATCTGGATCACATACTCTGTAAGTCTCTAGCTATCATGGTTGAACTGAATGCACAAGTGAAAAAAGGGAAGAGACTGTGTAGCGTAAGCAAAGTTAAATACATAAACCATTTCTCTACAATCTAAGGTAGTAAGATTTGGCAGAACATTCCAATGGGATAAGAATATGTGATAATTATCATAAGTAAATGATATATTCCATTTGAGTGATTCAAATGACTCATATTTGAGAACGGGTCAAATGAATGCGATAATAAGCATAAAATTCTTGCACAGAGCTGTCAAATTTCAAGTGGAACAACTTCTGGTATTATTCATCTTCTAGCATTAGAGGCAAGGCTCACAGAGCAGGAGGGTAGATGATGAGGATGGGTTAACAAAAACAGAAACAGCTCGTACAAGACAATCAGCATCTCCCAAAGATTTTGTTTTACCCAAGCAATAATAATAAGAAAACTTACACTAAAATGCAGGTTTCTATATGTAACAAGTACTACTAAAAACGAAACTTTTATACTCCGTATAATACATGCTCCATTGTAACATTAAAACGCCGATATAAATACAGATTAAAAAGAAAACACACACAACCAAAGAATGGACTTACATTACACAAATAAACAAGTAAACTAGTCTTCTGCTTGCACGCCTAAAAACAAATTTACCTGGCAGGGCGAGTAGGAGAAGATACAAGCCAGAATCTGAGCAGCGCGTGTTCCGCGGCAAACTTTGCTTTCGGCCGATTCAATTTGGTACAGTTTCAAGCTCGCAGCACTCCTCGACTCCTCGTCGTACGGCTATCGCAGTAGCCAGTCCGTTCAATCGCAACTCGCAACCCAAATAACTTCGCTTGTTCGAAGTTGCGGAAAAGAATTGGGCAGAGAGGAATTGAAGAAGAAGACGGACGCAACAGATGAAGAGAGAACTGAAAGAATTCCGCTGAGCCTTGGTCCCTGTTGAGAAGAAATTCGGCTGTACTAGCTATTGCGGAGCATTCGCAGTGTCCTAGGCGGATAAGAGAAGAAAGGCTGCGAGGCAGAAGGGTTTCAATATGAATTACTCCGCACTTTACTTTTTTTAAATTAAAAATTAGTCCCCTGTTAAGGCGGTTTGTTAAACACCGTCGTCATAAGTTGATAAAAAAATTTACCGCCTCACCTATTAAGGCGGGTATCCCGTGAACAGCCGTAACAGGTCTATTATTACTACACGTATTGTTTTTTTCCGCACTTCTAACGTCGGTATTTTTAACAACAGTCGTGGAATGTTTTATTTGAGGACAGTTTTTGAGAACCGACGTCTAATCCATGACGTGATAGACCTTTTCTGTAGTAGTGTATAGTTACTTTTCACGCTGTATTGGATGAAGTTATACAGATGGTCATTTTAGTTATTTTCACATAATATTTTATTTTACTTATTATAAATAATATTTTAAACATAAGCAGAATCGACCAATACGGTCACTTCAGCCAAAACATCATAAATTTCAACATAATAAGTCAATTAACCAATTTCAGTGTTATCAAACGGGCTCATAATCTATAAAGCAAATTGAAAGATGTAAAAACATAAGAAGAAGTGAACATGGTCTAAATTAAAGAAGATGCAAACAAAAACTTAATTAAACGAGAATATGAGGGAAAACAATATCTCTATAGATAGGGATTAATATTTAAACCCTATTGATAAAACATCACGAGCAAAAGAGTGATAAAAAATGCTACAAAAAGTAAAAATTTGGGTATAAATTGTCAAATGATACATGTGGGATGTGGCAACACCCAACCTTCAAAGCTCAACTTCATTGATGCTCACTCTCACTCAAAACCAAGTACGGAGTAATTTACAATTTTACACTTTCTCTCTCTATATTTCATAAAGAAGGAATCCTTCTCTCCGGCAACTGATATTTGCCGGACCACGCAGAGAGGAATCCGATGAAGCGTCGCGGAGGCCGTGGAGGGCAGAGCATGACAGTGATGGCCGCCGGCGTGGATGCCGACCACCGAGTTGACTTGGCGGCGAAGGTGAAGAAAATGAAGAATCGGGTGAAATTCGAGCGGAGATTGGTGAAATACGAGGCATTGCCGGATTATTTGCAGGACAACGAATTCATCCGCGACTACTACCGCTGCGAATGGCCGCTCAAGGATTTGGTTCTCAGCGTCTTCTCTTTGCACAATGAGACTCTCAACATCTGGACGTGAGAACATTTTTGAATTATTGGAGTAAATTCAACTAAATTTTTTTGAATAGGAGTGAAAAAACTCCCTCCCTTCGTGAATTATATTCTAAATTTCTTTCTTACTTCATCTCAAATTAATTTTTCATTTCTATTTATGATAAGTAATTTGTGGTATGAGACATTTCTGACACATTTTTTCACTAGTTCACACAATTCTTCTATGGTCACTATCTTAATTCTCGTGTCAAATGCACTTTAAACGATTATTTAGAGACCTAGAGACCGGGAGTATCATAATTTCTTGTTAATGTCACTACAAGCTTATATTGCAATGAATTTTGAACTCGTGTCCTTTTCGAAAGGTCAGTCATCGAATGACAAGATATTTGATAGTTTCCGTTCCTAACAAATCCAGTAATAAATATCTTATCTTCATACATAAGAAAGGTCTAAAAAATCTTATTTTAGAGCATTGTTTTTGTTTTACAACTATTTTAGCAATTGAATTTGAACTTTCCAGGTTTTTGCTAAATCTTGATGTGGGGTTTTATGATATTTTTTGCAGGCATTTGGGAGGAGCTATGATATTTGTGGCGTTGACGGTGATGAGCTTGACGGAGAAAGCATCGTTGGAGAATCTGCTGGTCGCCAGTAATTTCCTCAGGTCAGTGTCAGAATATTTGATCTTGTCCCCTGCGTGCTCTATATCATTTTCATTGCTATTTTCATTTTTTGGGTAAAAATGAAAAGAAAAAGACTCCGTACAAGTTGAAGTATATTTATCGGAAATACTAGTATAAAGTTAAGGATTGAAGTCTTTAAAAAGAAAATAAATGATGATATTGTTTTTTGTTAGGGGTGTATGAGTATGACTGTATGAGCTTTACTTTTACAAATAATAATATAATATTTGTACAAGGAATCAAGTACCATTGAAATGATGACAAAGTTACATGGTTTATAGTTTTATAAAGTACGGAGTACATCTTAGTTCTTAAAATTTACCTGAATTCGTAGAAAAAAAAAATTAGCGGAATTCGCCGAAAAGTCTGATAAGCCGAAAAACAGTGTTACGAAACGGCCTCTAAATATAGTGAAGGATTAAATTCTCTCTCGATTGATCGGACTCTGATTTTGTATCACACATTCTTATTTTTTATTGATTTTTCAAGACCATTACTAAAATAAAATATATTTACACAATAAAATAAAATATATTGGGTTGGGCCGTGGCGCGGTTGGCCACCCCCCGCCCCTGCTATTAGTGTTATGTATGTGCATACACTGAGCTCTGATGTCTAGGTCCGCCACTGTACACAAATGTGACTAATAGTTACTACTAGTATAATGTAGTGTACTGGTACTTAGGTTTAAAAATTGAACATAAGTTAGTACCCCCGTTCCTTAAAACTTTGTATCTTTCTTTTTTGGAATGTCCCAAAAAACTTTGTCACTTTCCCTTTTAATCAATTATTTTGTGGTTTCGGCTGTTTCTCTCCTCTGCACAAACCTCAATCATACAATTTTTACTTTATTATTTTTCGTGCCAGTCAACTTTGGCAAATTTTAAGGGATGGGGGTAGTATCATTTTATTACTACTCGATCTAGTCACTAGTCATATCATCATTTTAGTCATATATGTGTATTTTTTAATCTTACTCCTAACACAACTTTATTTAATTATGAAAATGCTAGAAACCCTCTTTAATAAATAAAATGAAATGAAAAAACAAATTAAGATACTTTCAATTATATGAATAAGTTGTTTTTGTAAAATGAAAAGTTTTCCGTGTTTTTAAGTTCAATAATACTCCGTAATATATCATCATATCATGTCCCAACCAAACAACTAAAAGCTCTTGTGTCAATAATACATGCACACTAAGTTCCCAAATTTTGGATTAAAGTTAATAATCTTTTTGAAAAGATGCCTGTTTCCTGAAAATTGGATTGCACTGTTTTGCCGATTCTCCACAATAATGATAATTATTATATAGAGCATATTATATTACGGAGTATATTATACTAGTACTCCCTCTGTCCTGCTAGAAGGTTCTCGTGAACGGTTTACTATGCTTGACTGACGATAAAACAACTTAATCCATGTTCACACTCTCATTATTTTTTGTAAATAAAATTTACATATTCAGAAACTACATTAAAACTGCTTCAAAGCCTGATAAAAGAAATGTAAATTTGATAAAATTTGATATATAAAATAAAAGATTAAAAATGATTTATGTTGACCATGTGAATAGTGGACGTAATCCTTCTAATGGGACGGAGGTAGTAATACATACTATTAGTATAATTAATACTCCCTCCGTCCCGGAAACAACTTCTCACTTTCCTTATTTGGATGTCCCAAAATAAACTTCTCATTTCCTTATTTGAAAAATTAATTTACATCAAAACAGTGCAAAACAGTGTCAGACAATGCAAAACAGTGTCGAAAAAGTAAAATTTATCCCTCAATAACTTTATTTTCTTAAAATGTGTGAAAGTCAACCCGGGAACTTCTTTCCGGGACGGAGGTAGTATAAAATACTCCGTAATAAACTATACGGAGTCTTATACTTCGTATAAGACTCCGTATAGTTGGATGATGTGTAAGATTATTTAGAGTTTAATTGGATGATGTGTAAGATTATTTTAAAGATTATCAATGTGAATGAGAGATTATTTTGAGAGATTATTGAAAAAGATAATCCGGTATCAAAATTTGAATCCCGGATTATTTTGGGTTGTAGTTAAATTTCATTTAATGCATGGTCTAGAAAAACTGATTATTTGAATATCATGGTTGATGGAGAATTTTAAGATTTGAGATTATTTAAAATTTATTTAATAAATGTGATGTGGCAATGATGTGTCATAAAAAAACCCATTTATTTTAAGATCATGAATGGAGATGATCTAATGTTGTTCAGTATGATACTATGATCTAATGATTCTAATCCATCTAATTCGCTCTATTACCCTTATATAGGAATTGAAATCACAATGCCTTATGGCTATTTAATGGTTTAGCACTTGTTCAATCATATGATTCTATAGGTTAAATTTGTTTGACATACTAGGAAAAAGAACTACGACTGAGATATTTCGAGAAAAGGTAGGTAGAAAGAGAAATTTGGAACTATCAAACAAGATCGATTAATTAACTATCTTTCAGCTCAACTCGTCGATGAGCTTAGATAAGTCGGTTTGGATATTAACAAACGGCTCTGAAATATCATTACTATTTTCGGTGATTGAACCTGAAACATCAAATTTCTCTAATCGCATTAGTATTTCATACCATTAGTCAATCACATTTCATTTACGGTGCATGAAGAGACCGAGTGGAATGATTAATGGTCACATATTTTGACTGCTTGCTTAGCTGCTTAGGCATTAAAGAGTGCATTTCTTCGTCATTCGCCAATTGTTTGAGGGGGACGGGGGAGTATATAGTTTGGAGTATTTTTACTAGGCTTGGGCATATCGATTTATTGGGAGACATCCCAGAATGAAAAAATGTGACATCTATAGGGGACGGGGGAGTATATAGTTTGGAGTATTTTTACTAGGCTTGGGCATATCGATTTTTGGTTCGATTTTTATCAGTTTCGGTTCGGTTCGGTTTGGAACGGGTTAGAAGAATTATTACCAAACAAAAATAATACTATTTTTCGGTTTGGTTCGGTTCGGTTTGATTCGATTTGGATTTGTTAATTTTTAATAATATATGAAGGTTTTTTTGAATTTCTTTAGTTTAGTTCGGTTTTGTTCGGTTTTTATCGGTTTCGATTCGGTTCAGTTTAATATGATTTGGAAGAAGTAATACCAAACTCAAATCAAATTGCATACGATCTAATTTCGGTTCAGTTTAATATGATTTGGTATGATTTGATTAAACCAAATTGTTATGCCCACCTCAATTTTACTATTCTTAACATGACTTTGAAAATGATTGAACAGGTGGGAGGCCACATCAGTGAAGCACAATAATTCAGCAGCTGCTTTCCGGGTGAGCTATTGCACTCTGCCTCACTTGGTGCGGTTATTTCATTTGTATCACAATTATGATCGGTTAAATAAAAGTTACCTACTTATTTTTAAATTATGATTAACAACTAATCGCGGAATCGCCAATGAAGCCCAGGGATAAGCGATTTATAGTGGAAATTGTCCTTTTTACGGATAAGAGTATGAGTCTTGGAAATCCCCCTATAGATGTCACATTTTTTCATTTTGGCAGGATCCAAAATTGCTTTCGCTAAATTTATTGGAATTTCTAAAATTATGCTTAAGTTTGTTAAAATTGTGTACCTTGTTGAATGTGAAAATCAACTATATATGGAGTCCATACTTAATTATACGCTTCAACCTTATTGGAATTTTTAGTAACTTCCACCTAATACATACTCCATAGAGAACCAGATTTTTGTCATTATTATCCAGTAAGAGAATACTCCTCCATTCTATATGGTTGGTCAATTTGACTTTGAGGTGGGATTTTACGGAATGCAAAATCATAAAACAAAAATTGTATAATTACTATTTGTAGAGATTAGAATGAAATAATTTGAATTATGAATTTATTACTTTAAAGAAGATGACAAAACTTTTTGAAAAGGTTGAATTATCAAACTCGAGAAAGCTTTAGGCTCTGTTTGGTTGGAGGATTTCGGATGGAAAGGGAGGGAAGTGGGTGATTTGTGTGTGTGTTTGGTTGAAGGGAATATGGAGGGGGGAAGAGGAGGAAAGTCGAAGGCTTCCGAAATCCTCTACTTCCTCTCATTCTTAACCCCGCATATCGGGATATTTCGGAGGAAAAGTGTTGATTTTGACAAACTATCCATCATTTTTCATCTACGTGAATGGACAAAACGTTACTCCATCCGTCCCGTTTTTAAGTTCTTACTTTGACCCTCACACATTATTAGGAATTAAATTTGACTTTACTGTTTAGACACTGTTTGGCGCTGTTTGACACTGTTTTGCACTGTTTGACACTGTTTTGATGTAGAGAAACTTTCCATTTAGGGAAATGAGAAGATAATTTTGGGACGTCCCAAAAAGGAATGCAGAGAGTTAATAGCGGGACGGAGGTAGTATAATATATAAAAAAAATTAAAATTAAAAAATCTTAAAAACTTAAAAAGTTAAAAAAATAAAAAATAAAAATTAATAAATTAAAAGATTATAAAATTTGATAAAAGAAATAATTCAAAAAATATACGATAGTATATATTATGACTCGTGACCTTAGTAGTAATATTCAGAATAGTTAGAGATGTATCTAAATTTTTAAGTAAGCAATCAAATAAATGTAAATTAGTAAAATATTTTCATTAAACTTTCCTCCCGTTTCCTCCAACCAAACACAGATTTTTATCAAAATCCTTCCTCCCCCTTCTCTTTCCTTTCCCCCTTGACTCTCCCCTTCCCTCCCCTCCTTTGAACCAAACAAGGCCTTATAGGATGGAGGAAGTATTATCTACAAAAATCTAAAGAAGCTTTAGAGCCTGTTTGTTAGCACGAAAATCGGCTGATTTGGCTATTTCTGCTGAAATTTATGAAGTTCTAGTTGAAGTTGTTGCATTCGTCAATTCTGCTGATTTAAGAGAAATTTATTTATAAAATATATGTTATTAATAAAATAAAATAAAAATTATATGTAAAAATAGGTAAAATGGTTATTTACAGTAACTTCAGCCAATACAGTCAGAAAAGTAACCTCAACCTTACTTTTTCTTATTATTACATAATTCAACGCGCAAAATCAAAAGTTACGTGTTTGGTGAAAAAATTGGCTGATAAGCCTGATAAGCCGAAAAAGTAGTTCCAAACACCCTCTTAAACTTTTCTTTCAAATCAGGAGGATATGTTATATACTTCGTTTTACATAGTATAATCCTTGCACAAAGTACTTTTATTGAAATAACGATTAAAAACATTTTCGAACGAGCTATTGGCATGAAATCGTCTGTCAATCTGTAATTCTGTACCAAATCAATGTCAATTCCGTAATTTTTTGTAGCGGATCTATAAATTAGGATATTATTACCTAGAGGCTACATGGTAACCTAAATGTACGACCACTTCAACCACAATTAATACTTCGTATAAGTTAAATTCATTCCATTGCACCAATTAAATACGTTACCATCACCAAATAAGCTTTTAGAAGTTCATCTACGTACGTATTGGTATTATGCACATTTTGGCAAATGGCAAGAAATTCTGAAGTAGATTCCGTTGGATAAGGATCATGTAAATCAACTTGTGTAATGGTTTTCTGATTAGGTAAAGAATAATTAAATTTCAATCCATAACAAAATTTTGACTTTATTTCAACTTTTGTCTAACCAATCACACTAAACACCACAACGCTAGATCACATATTTTAGACTAGAATATCGTAACCTAATTCCGTCTATCATGTCATCATTTCGTACATAAACTAATAATAATCCGTAAAAACAAGTCATGTGGGAGTATGTGAGTATAGCTAATAATTTATTATTTTTGTTACAATAACAAGTCAATAAGTCCATATATACGTTGCTTGATGTATGCATAACATGATTCAAAATTTCACCATTTTGGTTAAATTGAAGACTATATTATGAAGAACGTATAATTTAAACATTCTTCCTCCTTTTTCATGCTTGCATGTTCTGCTATGTCCAGGAATCTTATCCAAGAAAATTTCCAGAGTCATCGATCCTGTATAACGTGATCAACAACAATGGAGCTAATTCAGTTATGATTCCCACATGGCCTTGGTTTATATTCCTTGGAGGGGCGACCTGCTGTTTGGTAGTAAGCTCGGTATCCCACCTATTCGCTTGCCACTCACGGCGGTGCAGCCTCCTTTTCTGGCGCCTTGACCACTCCGGGATCTCACTAATGATAACAACCTCCTTCATTGCCCCCACTTACTACATCTTCTCCTGCCACCCTGTTTGGCGCCTCTTTTACTTCACTTCCATCACTGTCTTAGCCACCCTTGCCGCCATCACACTTCTATCGCCCGCCCTCTCCTCTGGTCGCTTCAGATCCTTTAAAGCGACCATTTTCGTGACGCTGGGACTCTTCGGGATTGTCCCAGCTGTGCACACCGCATTACTCTATGGGCACCACCGTCAGGTTGCGGTGGCTCTCGGTTGTGAGATTGCCATGGGGGTTTTGTACGCGGTGGGGGCGGGGTTCTACGTTGCTAGAATCCCAGAGAGGCTGCGACCGGGCGGGTTTGATCTTGTTGGGAGTAGCCACCAGATCTTCCATGTGTTTGTCGTTGCGGCCGCGCTGGCACACTGTGTGGCCACACTAGTGGTTATGGACTGGCGTAGGGGATTGCCGCTCTGCAGCCTTTAGCCGGGTCTTAGTGTGACCCCAGGGGCGTAGCTGAGGGAGGATTCAGCCGGGCCCGACCCACCCCGAGTTTGAAAAAAACTTCCATGTATGCTATATGTAAAACATTATGATGAAAAAATTATCTGGAAAAAAATGTTTGTACCAGCTCAGTCTAAGTTATTCTCCTGGCTACACCCCTAGTGACCATATCATAGACATATACAGAGTATAAATTTATCAACAGTGAATGCAAGGCTACATTTAGTGGAATTTGTCTTTCCTTATATGTATGTAACTATGTATACACGCACACAGTAATTGAGATACCCAAGTTGTGTTTCTTCTATGTATTGCTGAAGGCACTTCATTAAGAAAACAATTGTTCCTTGTTAATAGCACACTTGTTTTACACCTTTCATTGATCATTCTTAGTGTTCATCTTTTATTTTATACTACGTAGCTAGGATTCATCAATTGCCTATTTATTAGTTGTAAACGTGCTCCATCTAGGATGGTTGGATAAGGTCTATTTCTCGACGAGGGCGGATCAAAACTACTGGACACAACGATTGTCTCCATTTGTCTCCATTATGTTCCAATACCTGGCCTGATCCTCACCCTCCCTACCTAGACCAGGACTGGAATTTCCAGATAAAATTCGTTTCATGTCCAATTATCATAGTAGCTTTGGTTCAGTTTTGTACCCTGACCTGTTTTTTGAGGAACTGAAACTGTACTCAATTAGGCCAGTTCTAGATATTGGTTCTGCTCCAGTTTCCATTATTTCAGTTTTCAATTTGAGTCGGCCAGTCAGGACGATCCTGGTCCTAGTTCTACATCTAGAGGCCATGTCTAACCCAAGACAGTAGACACAATGAATCACAATTACAACTCCATGAACTATTCAAAGGTCAGTTTTTTAAAATTTGAATGAAGAATGCAGAATACCTTATGTAGCAAGTATTAAAAATTTCTCCTAGCTTAAAAGCTAAGCGTAAAATAGGAAAAAATCAAATTTAACTATCTTATGGCCGATTCAATTAGGGATTACTCCCATGTGTGAGAATTCCATTCCAAGGGAAAACCTCTGCTTCAATGAACACAATGTGATCTGATTCAAAACATACTAACAGGATAGGTCAATGAATTCATTGAATTTGGCAGGGTGAGAAGAGATACTAATGTGTGTTATTTCAATCCTCTGTTTTCTTGGAAAAACAAAAAATGATAAATAGGCACAAAGGAACCACAAAAAATGCTGCAATTTTCAGCACATCTTCGCTCTCCTTAGGGATGACCCCAATCCGTGACCAATCTCCACTGTACCTGATTTACATATCACATGTATAAAAACATCAAATGACAAGACACAACAAAAAAAAGTTCTGTTTTTCATTAAAATAGAGAAAGAAATTACCCTGCATCTATAAACCCCAATGCAAAAACTCCGAGGGCAGACTGAGCAAGAGTAGTTTTGGACAGTTTCAGAGGCAAAATGGGGTTTTCTTGAGGTGGTGATGATTTTCTCTTTCCTGCAAGTGCAAGAACTCCATGTTTTCTTGAGCTGATCTTCCATTTATGAACAAACAGATAAGATGAAATGGTATCCGTATTTCTGTTGGAAAAGGGGTGGATATTTGTTATGAGCATATTTCTGATCACACCACGAACCCTATCTACTTCTCCCGGGTGGCAGCTGCTATGTTTTATTATGATTGTAAAGTAAATAAAAGTCAGGGGCAATTCAGTCATTTTAAAAATGAGGACATGGTCAGCTTTTATTTGATCCTTGTGGATTTGCGGTGCTGCCATATTTCCTTGGTAAATATACAATGGAACTCGAAAATTTGTTATTTCTTTGAAACAAAGTATAAAACCATCTGTATCTATGATAATATTATACATTTCATTCGGTGGATTTTAAGATATCAATATCGGAATTTTTATAAAGAAAATGATTTGTGATTTGTGTAGGTTTACATAGAAAAGATAACGAGAATACCAATAATTCTGACATATTTCAAATACTTTTGACATTTCTTGACTTTTGGGGGATTTGATTAAAGAGTAGAACTTTTTTTATCACTCATATAGTCATATCAATAGAAATTTAAAAGGAAATCATTGAATTTGTCTAGAGGGTTGACTCATCAACGGCACCCACCCCCGACCCGACAGAACACTTGAAAGATTGTAAATCATAGTGACTCAACTAATCATAACGGCGGTAGACCTTATACTCGTGCACATCAGAGGCTCAGTCCAGCACATAGGAGTTATGACCTGCACATTCACACCGCTTTAGCAATTGAGCTTCTCGTGCGGGTAAAAAAAGGAAATCATTGAATGATAATATCATACATAGTATCTTGTTAGATGGAAGTACTGCATTTCATATTAATTAAATGTGTGAAAAACTAGTCAACTCAAAACATTATCACACATCCTCAAAAAATACTCCCTCCGTCCCTTAAAACTTTGCCAACTTTCTTTTTTTGGATGTCCCACTAACTTTGCCACTTTCTCTTTTTAGTAAAGAATTTATGGTTCCAGTTAATTCTCTCTCCTCTGCACAAACCTCAACCACACAGTTTTTACTTTATTAATTCCCGTGCCAGTCAAATTTGGCAAAGTTTTAAGGGACGGAGGTAGTACTTAATGTACATGAGTTGTACACAAAGTGTACACAAAACTATAATTGTCTGCGTACACAAGCAATTCGTTTGAAAAGAGACAGAATTTGATGTCAAAATCATCCTAACTGCCTACAGAATGGTCCAACATCCTCGAGGACCTCGACAACTAACCAACGAAGGACATACAAGAGGAATGAACGTATTTTACCAAGGAGCAAGTAGGAGCCATGAGTAAAATCGTTCTCCATTGATAGGTAAATTGAAGAAATTCACTGAGCTGCACTATCTAAAAAATACTTTTAGAATAATACTCTAAGAATGAAGGGAAAAGTTCATCTATATTTACTTCATTTCAGAAAAATAATACACTTAAACCAACAGGGCGAATTAAGTAGGAAGTATGTCATAACTTATAAGCATAAAAATCATTATACCAAACGAGTAATGAGGGTGTTGTAACAACGGTGGTCAGGAAAATTGAAAACTTGAATGGCAATGAGAAACTGTTGGTGGCAATGTGGCATGACCAGCAACTAGGCCAACAACCAAGCCCGTTCTTACTACATGAAGAAAACCCAATCCCGATCGCCGACTAGCAGCATTCTGTCTGCTCTACCTAGAACAGTGACATAAGTTATCAAAATTTCCTTCCGATAATGCCCTTGTCTTCTGAGAGTTTCATTTGCATGCAATGACCATGAGATACATGACAGAAGACTGACACATTAACCAAAAATGGTTGTATCATCTTAGTTGTCATTGCAATGTATAGAAAGCATTCCATTAGCATATTGCTTACGTGCCTTCCTATAATCATCAAGCAGTGTGACATAGACAGGCTGCACATCCTCAAATGCTACTTCACTGCAGAAGCTTGACTTTACCTGGTAAAAAACGGCTTCTGCCACTTCCCTGTTTTGACTAATTTGATGAATAACATCATTAGCATCTACTAAATGAATACTATTGGTGTCCATTTCGTGTCCCCCCTTCAACAAATGCCTTGTCCATTTGAAATGAGAGAAGAGATCTTCGTGTTTCTCAACAGCGACTTCCACATGTTTCAACACATCTACAAACGTTGCCTCTCTTTTTATTTTACAAATAATGTGGCTGAAAATCTCCTTCTGGTTAACAAGGAGCCAATCTGTATGTTCACATGCAGAGGAAAGTGCACCAACTAAACAAGCCTTCCGAAATATTGGGTCAGTATCACCGAAAAGTTTCACGGCAATATGAATCAGGATTGCTGATATCTTATGTAAAACCGGTGATTCTGAATCTGCAAGTATATATTGAGGTATACTTTGTCTCCTACACCAATGATAGAAGCCAACATGAGCAAAGCCTTCCCACCTGCAATCACACAAATATGCGTTTTTTTACACATATATGGATTTCATAGTATCATATAACAGAAATAAATATAATGAATTTGAACCGATAAATAAATTAATTTGTTGATCTAAAACTGTATTTTATTCTCTCCAAATTTTCTTTCTATTTGCCTTCCTTCTAATATTTTCAATAGATAACTAGTAAAGACATAAGAAATTACCTTTGATTGGCATTAAATATTTGAAATGCTCTAGCATTTGAGGTCTGTGTTAATTGTGCAGTGAAAAAAGCTCATCTACATTAATTCATACGGTGATACGGATTATGATTTAGGAAGATTTCTCAAAATAGGAGTAAAGGAAGTTTGGAATTACAAAATAGGACTACTATGTTTTTTTATTTCCGAAATAGGATTACAACAACAACAACAACAACAACAACCGAACCTTAGTCCCAAAAGATATTGGAGTCGGCTAACATGAATCGATACATGATATCACCACCAAAAGGAAAAGAAAGAAAATAAAGATAAAAAAGATAAGCTATTATGAAAAAGATAATATAAAAAGAGATGAATACATCTAAAAATGATAAAATAAAAAGAATAAAAATAATGTTTATATATATAAAGATAAAAGGACAAAAAAATCGGAGAAAAGATAATACGAGATCACTCCTCCACGCGAATACTCACCCTCCACTTTGCTCTCTCCAAAGCCATACCCTCATCTAACCCAAGAAGAAGCATATCACTTCAGACTCCCCTAACCCACGTCTGTTAGGGCCTTCCTCTCCCTCTTCCTTGCCTCTTCTCCGCACATCTCAACTCGTCTAACAGGTGCATCACTCGGTCTTCTACGCACATAACCAAACCACCGTAGGCGCGACTCCCGCATCTTGTCTTCAATAGGTGCTACTCCCACCCTTTGTCTTATTGTCACATTGCTCACGTGGCCCTTCCCAGTAGGCCCACACATTCAACGCAACATGCGCATCTCCGCCACTCATCTTCTGAATGTGACATTGTTTCACCGCCCAACACTCTATGTCATCCAGTAATGCAGGCCTAATTGTTGTCTTATAAAACTTACCCTTCAGTCTAGTCAGCATACCTCTATTGCATAGAAATCCTGACGCACTTTTCCACTTTATCCATCCTGTTCTGATTCTATGGGATACATTTCCATCTAACTCACCATCCTTCTGAATTATGGAGCCCAAGTAACGGAACATATCGTTGACCGGTATCTCCTTACCATCTAGAGTAATTCTGTTATTACCACTGCTTCTACCTCCACCAAACTTGCACCTCCATGTACTCTGTCTTGCTCCAACTTAGTCTGAAACCATTGTTCTCCAATTTTTCTCGCCATACTTCCAACTTTGCTTTAAGACCTGATTACGTCTCATCGATCAATACAATATCGTCGGCAAACATCATGCACCATGGTATTTGTTTTTGAATTGACTTCGTAGGTTCATCCATGACTATGGCAAATAAGAAAGGGCTCGGAGCCGATCCTTGGTGCACTCCGATAGTAATAGGGAACTCCGCAGTCCTCCCTACACTAGTACGGACACTTGTAGTACAATCCTCATACATAACCATGATGATGTTGATATACTTGTGTGATATGCCTTTTCTAGTTAAGGCCCACCAAAGAACTTCTCGAGATACCCTACCATAAGCCTTTTCTAAGTCAATGCAAATGCAAATCCTTGTGAGCGTCTCTATACTTCTCTATAAGTTTCCAAAGGTGAATTGCCTCAGTTGTTGAGCGACCAGGCATAAAACCGAATTGATTCTCTGAAATCTTCATCGTTCTTCGAAATCTTTGCTCAATCACTCGCTCCCAAAGTTTCATCGTGTGACTCATAAGCTTAATCCCTCGATAGTTGGCACATTCTTGTACGTCACCTTTATTCTTGAATAAGGGAATAAGAGTACTCTTCCTCCAACTCGTTGGCATCTTGTTGTTTCTCCAAATCATGTTGAAGAAACTTGTTAACCACTCGACGCCTCTCTCTTCCAAACTTCTCCAAGCCTCGATCGGTATGTCATCTAGACCCATTGCTTTCTGCCACTCCATCTTCCTTCAGAGCCTCTTTAACTTCCGTTGTTTGGACCCTTCTCACAAAATCACGATTTACTGTACAATCTGGTATGGTCAAATCACCGATATCTTGCGCTTTATTCCCGTTGAATAGTGTATCAAAGTATGATCTCCATCTCTTTTTTATCTCCCCGTCCTTCATTAGTACCCCTTGATCGACATCCTTCACACTTAACTTTTACGACATCTTGAGTCGTATGATCATGAATACAAGCAAGTCTATAAATATCCTTTTCTCTTTCCTTAGAGTCCAATTTTGCATACAATTCCTTTTTCACTTTTCCTCTTGCTTCTTTTAAGCTTTATTTGCTCTTCTTCTAGCCTCCTTGTACTCCTCTATGTTCTCGTCGCTCCAACTTTTGCCCAATTTTTATAGCATTCCCTTTTGATCCTTATTGCTTGTTTTACCTTATCATTCCACCAAGATGTGTCCTTTTTTTGTGGTATCATCCTTTAGATTCTCCAAGTATCTCTTTCCCCACTTTGTTAAAGGTGGACTCCATTGATAACCACACATCATCCACATGTGCGTCATTATCAAAGGACCATACATTTTCCTCAAAACATTTTCTGTGCAAAAGTTTGTTGGAGATTCCTCTCGAGCCTCCACCACTTTATCTTTGGCTCCTCTTGTACCTTAACTCTCATTCTCTATTTACCTTGAAAATCAAGCACAAGCATCCTATGTTGAGTGACAGCACCCTCACCTGGGATAACCTTACATTCAATGTAGCTAATTCTCTAAGTCGTTTGTACTAAAAACTAGTCAATTTGGGTATTATTAGCTTCACTTCTATAGGTCACAAGGTGAGAGTCTCTTTTCTTGAACCAAGTGTTCATCATAGTCAACTCATATCTCGAGGCAAAATCCAAAATGTTCTTCCCTGCTTCATTTCTAGTGCCAAAACCGTGTGTGCCATGGATACTCTGAAAACCATCACGATTTGGGCCCACATGCCCGTTGAGGTCGCCTCCTATGACCAACTTCTCTCCCCTTGGCACTCGTCGCACCACCTCCTCAAGATCCTCCCAAAATTGTTGAATGATAGATGCATCCAATCCCACTTGTGATGCATAGGCACTTACCACTGACACGATCTCATCTCCTATAATCAACTTAATGCTCATGATGCGGTCGTTCTTCTTGAAGACTTCCACCACACCCTCAACATAATCATGTGCCACCATAATGTCTACTCCATTTATGTTCCTTTCTCTCCCCGAATACCATAACTTAAAACCTCCGGGATTACTCTCACGTGTCTTTTCTCCAATCCACTTAGTTTTCTTGCATGCACATTATGCTGACATTCCTCCTTTTCATAACCTTCCAAAATAGGATTAACATGACAATATTTACTGCCACCCTATAGGCGTGATTACCAAATAGTTGCAGTAAAGTGCATTTAACATGGCAGTATTTTCCAATCATGACAGTATTTTTCATACATGACCGTAACAACTCCTATTTCGGGAAGAAAAACATAGTACTATTTTGGAATTCCAAACCTCATTTACTTCTATTTAGGACAATTTCTCTATGATTCAAAAAAGGAAAATTTTCAATGAAGTTACAAAACAAAAGAAAAATGGAAATGCTCGTGTATTTCTTCACTACTGTGTCCAAATTTAAGCCCCATTTAGTAACACTAAAATAGAGTGAATCTCTTGAAAGTCCTTGTGTATTTCGCATTACTGTAGGTTGATCAAATTTAAGCCCCATTTAGTAACATTAAAATTGACTGAATCTCCTGAAAGTTACCTAGTATGAATTTATGGCTCAATGACTGAATCTACTGAGATATGAAAATATATATTTAAAATAATCCGCGTTTTATTACTAAGGAAGAAAAAGTAACATGCCAAATCTTAAGCCAATTCAGGCAAAAAACATAAATTAATTTAGCGCGTAAATTAAAAAAAATGGTGTTTGATAAAAAAATCTAGTTGATGGGCAAAAAATACCCAAGTAAATTCTTCTACCCATCAAAATAAATAGCTTTTCACTTGGTTATTTTTGCTCAAATGATTTTCTTTAACAAAAAAAATTCAGAAGAAATAACAATTACCAAAAGGAGCCGGAAAATGTCAATTACCATAGGTTCCACGCACAGAAAAGCTCATATTTTTTTTAAATTTTTAAACAGATTCACATCTTCACACTACAAACCAGACCAAAAGAAAACACTTACTCGAATGGGGGCTCAACTTCAATAGAAAGAGTTAGATGCAAGGAAAAGCCAATGGATGTGTCACACCCTCCACCATAACCAATAGTATGTGCCTCGTGAGGGTGGCCTCTCGGGATATATAAAATATCACCCTCTTTCAGCAAAACTTCTTTGCATGCATCCATTATACCTCTTTCCTTCTTCTCAATAGCTTCATACAGGCGAGGTAGGTGATTACCAGCTGGGGAGAAAATATGCCATTTTTTTGCCCCAGCGAGTTGGCAGATAAAGACACAGTGATCGTCACTGTGACAAGCCAACCCCTGACAGCCGGGAGGTGTCACGTACAAGTTTACTCCTATTGAAGGTTGACCAAACATGGATGCCACTTCATCCGCAACAGAAGCAATGCTCGTATATCGAAACCCCATACCGCGTAAAGCAATTGTATACCCTTCCTTGTATGCTTGCTCACACTTGAGTATATCAGTACTGCTAAAGATAATGGGGAACTCATAGTTTATATTATCTGCTTGTGTTTGAAAATAGTGCAACTCAGATTCTGAATCATATGTTTGAACAACACGGATATCCTCTTGGTGAACAATCGGACAACCTAAACTACTACTTACCTCATCTAGGAAATGAAGAATGTCATGTTCGTCTGAAGGAATAGGTGGACAATGAATAAGTCCTCTTAGCATTGAGGATAAAAAGAAAGGGACCGACTCCCTTAATTTACTGAAGTCTATAAAAGAACTCAATATATTTTTCATCTTAGAGTTTCTTAACAGAAAGGGTGATGACTCCCAAATGTTCAACATAAAATTTTCCAAACTCGTATCTTCTGCATTGAAAAACCCAACTGAAGGTGCTCTGCATGGATTAATATCCACGGAGAGCCTGAAAACACTTTCAGCCAGATTGTTCGTCCGGATACTGTTTATGTAAGAAACTCCATCCTGTGTGCAATTCCCAGAGATACCACAAAGCTCCAGTTGATGAACTTCTTCCCACACCTTTTTTAAATGCAACAGCAAACCCCTAGAGAGGGTTGCTGGGATCTTATGTAGCTGTTCAATTGTGCATGAATTAAGAAGAACTATGATAGCATTCACAAGTAATATTGACAACTTGTCATCGTTGAAAACAATTTTGGGGCATGTTTCAGTACACTTCCCATCTGAAAGAAGAGACGCCATAGGAGTAGATGAATTAGGGTCCTGAAAGAAGCGAAGACTAACAAATAGTAAGTCAGGGTTATAAGACAATCTTGCCATTAGGTATAGTTTACATGGTTTCTAAGGCAAAATGTGGAGCACAATTTAACAAAAAGAAACTGCAGATTCTTACATATTTTTCTCCAATATCAAGTTAGACCTCATATGACATATGAGGATGAAAAATCACAAAAAATAGATTACCTACTCATCATTGAAAAAAACAAGAAATGATTCTCTTGAAAGTCTAGAGGTTCATTTAGCTTGGGGATTTTGGAGGGTAGGGGAGAGAAGAGTTGCGCTTTTACTAATATTTCGCTACTTGTTAGCCTTAGAATTGAAAATCAATTTCTTTTCCAACCATCTAATGTAAAAATAAATTAACAACATAAGTATCAACCCTCTCCTTGACTCTCCCTCAAAACCTCCCCACTAAAGAAGAGTAAGTGAAGGTGATGAAATAATGGCATCATTCTATGAAATTTTGATTCTAGTATTCTACAATGTCATGCATACCGCGATCCATTTTTATGAACAAATGGTATTTTGGGTGCATGTATTAGAATTACAACTCAGCCTTGTTGTGTTATGGATTACTGTAATACAGTTCTAATTAACTCATTGGCATTCCATTAACACAAGGAAAGATGACAATGGTACTCACATTAGATTCTCAATGGCAAACAAGTCCACAAGATGTTTTCGTCCGATTGACGTGGTAGAAAGATCAAGAATAGAGTTACAAGCAGCCATTGATCTGAGACTATTACAACTCTTCAACGAAGCAACCAACCCCTTCACAATCTGCTCTTCAGAAGCTGTCTGTTTGTTCATCTCAATGGACATCAATGATAATGCTCCCACGATCTCTATGCTTTTGCAAGCAACTTCGTCATTTCTTTGGTTCAAAAGAGTACATGAAATGTCAGTGCATTTGTAAAGCAGCATTTACTCAAGCTTAAACTCAAAAATATATCCAAGATATTAAAAATAAATCTTTAATCATTTTGTCCCTAGTGGGTTGGGGTGTAAGGAGGTGAGGGGCACAGATAGGCTAAGGTAGGAGGTCCCAAAAAATAACTATATAACCTTTAGATATGTGATTGGTTTATCTAGTGGAAGACCTAGGGGGCATGGGGGCACGCAACCCCGCTTCCGGTCTCAAAAAACAGCTTTAGTACTTATGTCATAGAATTGTGCCCGGTTTCTAGTCTCGTTGAATGATACTAGTTTCTAGATGAGTGTTTAGATATTATATTAGTTTCTAAAAAGAAATATTGTTACCGTTGAAGAAGAGAAATAATGGAATAAAGCAAAATGGCTCACTAAACTGTTTGCGCTTCTTTGTTATGAAACAACAGTCAGTCCATGCAATTCTCGATGCGATTTTCAACTATGGGCTAAGTAGCACAGAAACGCGAAACCGGAAACGTGAATCGGGAAACGAGAAATGCGAGAAACGTAATTTCTAAAAAATATAGGATATGAAACTTGGGAGAAACGTGTAAATATTAAAAATATAAGGATATATCTATAAATATTTTTTCATGTATGTACATGATTTTTCATGTAATTTGTTTAATGACTCAATAAAAACATTCCACGTGTTCGAATTTTGAAATCACATCATATTAGTACATAATTAGATATTAAATGCAATACATTTCTAGCTATTCATTGCGTTACGAAATGCCACAATGTTGCTGCAAAGAAATACCACAAAAACCCACTACTTTTTTAAAAAAGAAACTATTGGAGAAAAATTGGAAATCCGAGGATTCTGAAGTGCTAAGTATTAAATAAAATACAACGGGCTTTTCCTAAGTTATGATCCATAAAAAAGATAGAAGAAATGAAACTGCGCCTCAAGACTACAGACTTTAACTTTTGGAGCGTAAGCCTATTGACCTGTGAAAATAACCTAAGCCCTAATACCTTCTCTGTACACCTCACCTTGAAGCGCGCCTCAAAACCCGCCATGTAAGCGCCTTTTTATTCGATGTCCCAAACTCATGGACAAAATGCAAATTATTTTGATTTTGCGTATGGTCTGAATAAAATAATCTAATATGACATATGTCGGTTTCAATTAGGGCTTTTAATAAGCCGAGTCGAGCCTGAACATCCAAAACTCTTGTTTGACTCATTGAGGTAATGATGTTTGAGCTGTGCAAATGGAGTTTAGGTTTAACTCAGTAGGTTTGGGTGTTTGATTTGAGCGCACGGTAAGCTCGATAAATGTGCTCCAGTGTAGAAGTCTACTTATGTTCATTAACAAGTTGGTGACCGTAGTATTTGACATGTGCACGGGTTTTTAACTACAGTAATATTGAATGACAAAATAAACAAAAAGACTACAAATACAACAACAAATTTAACACTGATTTACCGTGGATTGATACAATTATTTGTCAAACCTCCATGTCAACTTCAAAATATCTCAAAACATAGTGCCTCTAAAAAGGGTTTTGTCAAGGGTTTTGCACGGATTAGTAGATCCTTGTCAAACTCAAGTCAAAATTTATGCAAATGTGACTTCGTCACGCAAAAAAATAGCAATCTTAACAAAAAAAAAGCACCTAGTATCAATTAATGTCAGGCCCTTTAGTTTTTTGCAATGCAATATGATAAAAGCTCAATACGTAAAGTCAAATTATTAAATAGAATTGTCTGGAATGATGGAATAGTAAGCCTAAATTCTACTTCATTTTTTGGACAGAGTAGCATTATATTTCAAACAGGTACAAAAAAAATTGTGTGACACCATGTAACTGTTTATAGTATGTAAAATAGCTAGAATTCTAACTGCATCGCATTTGAGAAAACTTCTGGTTCCACCACTCAGTTTATCCGTATTACCTTTAGATATTTGATGAATTGATGCCTTGATGGTTCATCCATATAAACTTATGATATTGGAATTAATATAAACCTGTAAACGTACACATTTTATGATTTAGAACTAAAATATTTCTACTTGGAGTTTTTACACCATTATCCATTGCCCGGAGAACTATGGTTAGTAATAATCCTTAACTTTTTTGAAAAAAATATCAAACAAATAATTAACAGATAAAACTAAATAAGCAAAACGGAGACATCGAAATCTTACTTGGAGCTGATAAGGACGGGAAGCAGGGATAGGATAGGTGTGGAGAGACTTTGCGAAAGAGACCGATGCAATTTCGTTAAGCATCGTTGAATGAGAGCTAAATCTTCCCCTCCGTAGTTATTACCTTTGGAAATAGCTGCGAGAATAATAGCAAAGGCAGTGGCGCTGGAATCTGGAAGGCGCCGCTTGTTTAGCCGGCGGCTCTGTTGTCCCGCATTCGTCCTCTTCATTTCTTGGAGATCCTTCCTGAAACAGTGATTTGGTTATTTTTTATTGAGAATTTTTTTTGACGGGGACGATAAATCTGGAGTGGGGAAAGTTGAACTCGAACTAGAAAGCCAGAAACCCAGAAGTGGGAACGATCTGAAATCTGTCACAAGCTCCAATGATTCCATTAAACCACACCAGACTAGACCAGAAAATTCTGATCCAAATAAAAAACATTCATACTCTGTAATTAAAATATATTCAATTTTAAATATGGAGATTTTTTCCAAATTAATGTTGAATAAAAAGATATTTACCGAGTTGATGTTGGGTTAAAACTATTTCTCAATGTACTATTGTGCTAATTATAGGCTCCTTTGATAGTTTACACATTAAAACTTTACGTAAAGTGATTGCATGTAATATATAGTTTCATCTTTTTTAAATTACTCATAAGACTGGTCAAATATATTTACATGTAAAATACTCATTGAATGTATAGAGAATTTGCTTCTAACCCGCTAGAAGACAACTATACAAATAGTAGGGGTGTTCATCGGTTCGGTTTTGGCGGTTTCGGTTTTATCGGTTCGGTTTTAGTCGGTTTCGGTTTTTAGTCGGTCGGTTTTGATCGGTTTCAGTTTTTAGTCGGGCGGTTTTAGCGAGAATCGGACCGCAAAAATTGAGTCAATTTTGGTCAATTTGTATCGTTTTCTGTCGATTTTTACCCATTTTTGCCGGTTTATTTTCATTTGACCGGTTTTTTTAAGTCAAAAGTATGAACCGTAAACCGAATAACCGATGAATTAGTCACTTTCGGTCGGTTTCGGTTTTATCAGTTCGGTTTTGGTCAGTTTCGATTTTGGTCGGTCGGTTTCGGTCGGTTTGCGGTCGGTTTCGGTTTTTCGGTTTTTTTGTTCACCCCTAACAAATAGTACGTACTACCTCTATCTCATTTTATAAGAAATCTTTATTTTTTTTTTGTAGAAAAAAAAATTAAAGATTTCTTATAAGGAATCTTTATTATTCACTTGATCAACACCAAATCACTTTTAATCCCTTAGTTTATACATCAAAACTTTATGGAATTTGAATTGTATTTTGCAGGTTTTGTAGCAGGTTTAATGTAGTTTCTGAATATGTAATTTTTCTTTTATAAAAATAATTTGAGTGCAGACGGGGATTCGTTTGCTTTATCGTCGGTCAAACATCGTAAACCGAAAAGTATCGAGGGAGTATATACTTATTATATTTGATCAACCCAATTAAACAGATCTCAAAACTAAACAACAGCTACAACATAGAATATAATTCAAAGCTGAAGATCCAATATTCGAACATATATTATATACTACGTATATAAAGATGTATGTGCAGAGTAACTAATAAACATGAGCCTCTTCGCCGCCATTTTTTTTGCTTACCCGCCAGCCGCCATAGTGGAATCTCCAAAGTATAGCAGGCTGTCTAGGTCTCAATCGCAAACTAGGGTTCCATATATTTATTTTCGCTCCGATAAATGAATGTAAAGTAATTTACTATCTTCCCCGCGTAAAATATTTTACATGATACAATTTAAAATGTCTTTAAAAGTTTCATATAGTTTACATTAAATAGTTAAAATAAACGGTGTAAAACGTTTACATCCTCACACTTTACACGCAAAGTGTTTACTTTCATCATAACAAACAGGCCCTTAAGGTTAACAAGATCGCCGTACTCATAGGCTACTTACATGTACGACGAAGAAGCACAGAGGGCGACACAAAATTGGAGAAGAGGCATTGGTGAGACCCAAAAAAAATAGAAAATCTCCTTTTTTTTAAAAATGGTGTAACCTTTTTACTTGTACTCTGATTGTCACAAAAATATATAAAAAGTAATAAATTTTATTCTTTCATATAACATCAATATTGTATATATAAAAATTTAAAAAAAATTGAGATTTAAAAAAAAACAGTTTTTGAAAGTGTTATATTTTTTATTTGTACTCCGATTATTTTAAAAAATTTATCAAAATTCATAATATTTTATTATCTTTTATATGACACTAATATTTAATAGGTAAGAATAAAAAAAATTAGCACTTTCAACCGGTTAGGGGCCGGGACATAGCAACTTCGACTGTAATACATTATCACTTTGTGAATAATCATTAAAACCAACTTAAACCTACATCAATATGCTAATTAAAAGTAAAACATCCTTAGTAACAATTTGTATCATTATTTTTTAAGATGAACGATTGATGAGTCACAGATGATAATTCATTGAAATAATTAGAAAGAAATGTCAAAACAATAATTTCTTAGGAGAAGATAACAAATAGAAAAGGAAATAAGGGAGAAAAAAGAACAAATTTAAAAAAGAACAAATTAAAAAGAACAAATAATTAAAAGGAATGTGACGTTAGAATGAAGGAGAAAAACGATTCTAATTTTCATTTTCTACTATGGTTACGAATGAGAAACAATGGAGTGTTTGAAGTGCGAAGCAAGAGAAGAAGAAAGAAAAATAATAATAATAATAATAGTAGTAATAGTAGTAGTAATAGTAGTAGTAGTAGTAGTAATAATAATAATAATAATAATAATAATAATAATAATAATAATAATAATAATAATAATAATAATAATAATAATAATAATAATAATAATAATAATAATAATAATAATAATAATAATAATAATAATAATAATAATAATAATAATAATAATAATAATAATAATAATAATAATAATAATAATAATAATAATAATAATAATAATAATAATAATAATAATAATAATAATAATAATAATAATAATAATAATAATAATAATAATAATAATAATAATAATAATAATAATAATAATAATAATAATAATAATAATAATAATAATAATAATAATAATAATAATAATAATAATAATAATAATAATAATAATAATAATAATAATAATAATAATAATAATAATAATAATAATAATAATAATAATAATAATAATAATAATAATAATAATAATAATAATAATAATAATAATAATAATAATAATAATAATAATAATAATAATAATAATAATAATAATAATAATAATAATAATAATAATAATAATAATAATAATAATAATAATAATAATAATAATAATAATAATAATAATAATAATAATAATAATAATAATAATAATAATAATAATAATAATAATAATAATAATAATAATAATAATAATAATAATAATAATAATAATAATAATAATAATAATAATAATAATAATAATAATAATAATAATAATAATAATAATAATAATAATAATAATAATAATAATAATAATAATAATAATAATAATAATAATAATAATAATAATAATAATAATAATAATAATAATAATAATAATAATAATAATAATAATAATAATAATAATAATAATAATAATAATAATAATAATAATAATAATAATAATAATAATAATAATAATAATAATAATAATAATAATAATAATAATAATAATAATAATAATAATAATAATAATAATAATAATAATAATAATAATAATAATAATAATAATAATAATAATAATAATAATAATAATAATAATAATAATAATAATAATAATAATAATAATAATAATAATAATAATAATAATAATAATAATAATAATAATAATAATAATAATAATAATAATAATAATAATAATAATAATAATAATAATAATAATAATAATAATAATAATAATAATAATAATGATAATAATAATGATAATAATAATGATAATAATAATGATAATAATAATGATAATAATAATGATAATAATAATGATAATAATAATGATAATAATAATGATAATAATAATGATAATAATAATGATAATAATAATGATAATAATAATGATAATAATAATGAGAATAATAATGAGAATAATAATGAGAATAATAATGAGAATAATAATGAGAATAATAATGAGAATAATAATGAGAATAATAATGAGAATAATAATGAGAATAATAATGAGAATAATAATGAGAATAATAATGAGAATAATAATGAGAATAATAATGAGAATAATAATGATAATAATAATGATAATAATAATGATAATAATAATAATAATAATAATAATAATAATAATAATAATAATAATAATAATAATAATAATAATAATAATAATAATAATAATAATAATAATAATAATAATAATAATAATAATAATAATAATAATAATAATAATAATAATAATAATAATAATAATAATAATAATAATAATAATAATAATAATAATAATAATAATAATAATAATAATAATAATAATAATAATAATAATAATAATAATAATAATAATAATAATAATAATAATAATAATAATAATAATAATAATAATAATAATAATAATAATAATAATAATAATAATAATAATAATAATAATAATAATAATAATAATAATAATAATAATAATAATAATAATAATAATAATAATAATAATAATAATAATAATAATAATAATAATAATAATAATAATAATAATAATAATAATAATAATAATAATAATAATAATAATAATAATAATAATAATAATAATAATAATAATAATAATAATAATAATAATAATAATAATAATAATAATAATAATAATAATAATAATAATAATAATAATAATAATAATAATAATAATAATAATAATAATAATAATAATAATAATAATAATAATAATAATAATAATAATAATAATAATAATAATAATAATAATAATAATAATAATAATAATAATAATAATAATAATAATAATAATAATAATAATAATAATAATAATAATAATAATAATAATAATAATAATAATAATAATAATAATAATACTAATAATAATACTAATAATAATAATAATAATAATAATAATAATAATAATAATAATAATAATAATAATAATAATAATAATAATAATAATAATAATAATAATAATAATAATAATAATAATAATAATAATAATAATAATAATAATAATAATAATAATAATAATAATAATAATAATAATAATAATAATAATAATAATAATAATAATAATAATAATAATAATAATAATAATAATAATAATAATAATAATAATAATAATAATAATAATAATAATAATAATAATAATAATAATAATAATAATAATAATAATAATAATAATAATA